TTCGTCATTTAACTTCCATTATGTAATCTTCATTAAATTATTAGTAATTGTATATTTTGTGATATTGATAATATTTTTATATAAACAACTAAAATTAATTACGGGAGTTATTATTTATTTATAGTATTGTGATATAAATATAAATTATCATAATCACTATAAGTTCTCTTTTTGCCTTTTATAGTTTATAATGTGTTAAAATAAAAAGCTCGTGTCAATCAAATGTATACTTTTTTTTATTAGACCTCCAAAGTATTCGTAATTTTTAGTTCCCCTAACTGCTGAAATTCTTTTTCGTAACGAAATTCGCTACCTTGCAATAATGTACAGAGATGATGTAGCCTCTGTAAGTGAACAATGAAATAAGATTGATGTCTGACGCAACGATACAAAGTGTTTTCTTGTTATTGCCTGTTTATTTAACGAATTTTGAAGGCGTTCGAAATAAGTTAATTAAATATAGACATAACAATCGCTCTGTACTTCCCGACGAGTGTAAAGAACATCGATCAAATATTTTAACCCTAAAGCGTGGACGCTTTATTACAATTTCAATTGAACTGAGCGTACCTTCGATTTAAATCAAATTTAAACGTAAATTTCGACGTAACGATTGACAATCGACGATTAACACCGTTAATCGATTAAATCGATTGCCGATCTCTCAACGATCGATTTCCTTTAATTGACGGCTAATTTCATTTGCCGATTTTTCGGCAATTAATTTTGTTCATCACTCGAACTGAAAATCTCGAGTCGATCGATGGCCAACTCTACTGTGCAACGATCAAAGACAGAGCGTGCAAACACGAGTCGTTGAGGAGAATAAAAATTATAACGAAGGTGTGAAAAGAGCCAAAAATGTCCAGCCGACTGTAATACGTATTGACATTATATATATATATATATATATATATATATATATATATATATATATATATATATATATATATATATTAATGTATATTGGCTAGTTGAGTGGTTAGCATCAATTACTAAATACGTGCAGTACAGTTTCTCTCGACTCCCGTTATGCGAACAGAATTCTGTATTAAAATAACAGAATATACAGGATATCTCTAAAATTTAAATGTTAAAAGTTGAAGCAGTGTGATGATTGATAAACTAAGGAAGAAATGTCCATATTTTTGGAGAAAATCGCGAGAAAAAAAAAAGGAAACACTGAAATATTTTTCGTCAATTCATCTATCATCGATTTTATATATATTATCATTTTACAATGTTATCTACCATCTGTTATCATCTGTTTAACGAAGATACTATTCAATATGCTGGCCACTTGCAGCAATGCAAACATCACGTCGAGCATTGACCGTTCTGACTGTAATTAAATAAAATTATTTTAGTCACATTTGGTCTCGATCGCTCTCTCGAGTTGATTAGCATCGAGCAAACTTACCGAACAAGTGAGAAAATTAAAACTTCGTTTCAATTCGTTTCCTTTTTCGCGATCTTCTCTAAAATGGATTAAAAACGAGCAAATCTCCAACGAACATTTTTCCTCGATTTTATCGCTGCTCTAATTGAAATTCGAGACACACATTGAAGGGTGCATATGAGATGTCGTTTTTCTAAAGCTTTACATTTGTAAGTGTTTTAATCGCGTGACTAAATTATATATGAATTATTAATAACTACCAACTAATAATAATAAAGTCAAAATTAATCAAATTGCCAAAACTAAACTACCAAACAATATAAAGTCAAAGATTGTATTACAAATATTTGTATTTTGTTTTTATGGTCAAATAAGTTTAAAACGAATGAAGCATATTTCTGATCAAACAAGTTAGAAAAATTGTTGGACATGTAATTACTAGTGCAACTATTATATGAATTTTCAGATAGTAGATTGTTTTATACTTGCATGACGGCAGTGGGAGTCAGATTTAATCCAACATTATATGGTTCCTTTTCTACGTACCTGAAAAACAAATATTTCCAATTAGATTATTAATATTCCTTCGTTGAATATTTTAGTTCAAGTCGTTCGAACGTATAACGATTGGAGAGAAAAATAAAATTGTGATTAATTAATAAATACTATTATTATCTATTTAAGACTATATTTTAATAATTTATTATTTAGTTATTACTATATTCATTTTTAGAAGGAAAGATACAATTGCACTTTTTAACAAAAATACAATATTTGTAAAAAGAAAAAGTTACAGTTGTATGATAGAGTATAATAATAATAATAATAATTTGAAGTATTTTATATTATATAAACCCTGTTTAAGTAAATCAATTATTTTATTATTGATCATAAGATTATCTGTGTGCAATATTAACAACGTCAAACACATACAATACTTACAAATTAAACACTCGAAGCAATGTACAATTTTCTTCTATAATTAATTTTCGATATTCTAATTTTCAGTATTATTATATTATTATATTATTATATCACGATATTGTAATACACACAACAATAACATAATACAATATTATAATATTTATCAAGTCATAATATTCCGCAATATCAAATTACTCGTTATTAATACTAACTAATGTTAATAACATTCATTATTCGATAATTGAACATTAATTTACTGAATAGCTACGAACACTGCATACAAAGTATCTCATTACAAATACTGAACAGCAGATCAAACAAATCCTATATCTAACTTCCTCTATTACGTTTAAAAGACAGAAAAAAAAAAATAGAGAAAACATTGAATTTGCATAAACACGCGCAATTCGAACAGAAGTTTTCCTCGGCCATGAAGATTTAAATATACGTGGAAACTGTTCGTCGCTTTATTTATCTTTACCGTCTCATTCTATTTCGATTTATTTACAGATGATAGATCCGAAGGGACGAAGTTTACACTCGAACGACTCGATGGTAAAATTCTATGGAAGATAAAGATTATCTATCGTTTACGGTAACTTTTTTTTTTATAGCATTCCCTACGTATTACGTTCCGGAGATTAAAGTTCATGAACCCTGGTGACAACCTAACCGAGGAACTTTCTCGTTTGTTGTTTGAACGAGAGGACAAATAGCTCTCAGGATAGGTGGACGAAACGATATCGAAGAGTGACAGAAAGAAAGAAGAAAAGATCGAAGAAAAGATCGATCAAATCTTAATCCAAATGCAGATCACGACGAACGAGGTTGAGGAACTGTACTTCAGAGACAAAAACATGTCATCCAAGGGTGAAGCACTGAATACGTGGTTCAAAAAGAGTTAAGAAATACATATGTGCGAAGAATATAAATATACGATTACAGTATATCTTTCACAAATCATTTAAACATTTATTTATATATATATATAATGTTATAATAATATTAAATTAATAATAGTAATATTAAATATATATAAGTAATATAATATATAATATAATATATTATTATACGAATCTTTCCTTCCATATCTATCCTTTCTATTATTTCTCTCTTATATATATATAAATGTTATAATACTATTAAATTAATAATAGTAACATTAAATATATATATATATTAGTATATATATAAAATATTAAATATATATATATATATATGTAATATAATATATAATATAATACATTATTATACGAATCTTTCCTTCCATATCTATCCTTTCTATTATTTCTCTCTTGTATATATATAAATGTTATAATAACATTAAATTAATAATAGTAACATTAAATATATATATGTAATATAATATATAATATAATATATTATTATGCGAATCTTCCCTTCCATATCTATCCTTTCTATTATTTCTCTCTTATATATATATATATGTTATAATACTATTAAATTAATAATAGTAACATTAAATATATATATATATATATATATATATATATACTAATATATATATAAAATATTAAATATATATATGTAATGTAATATATAATATAATACATTATTATGCGAATCTTCCCTTCCATATCTATCCTTTCTATTATTTGTCTCTTCTTTGGATGCTTACCAGCCCCACCGTCCCCATTGTAGCATTAACTAATGAATCGCTATCAAAAATCGCGTTTACACTATCGTAGAGTTGTCACATATATATATATAGAACCCCAAAACTAGGACAGGGAGCATTAACTACCAAAACTACCAAAATGGTCAAAATTTGTTATTCATATCACAAATTTCATAGACAGTATATTTCTAGATGTTTAAATAAGTTTTCGCAAAATGTATAAACAAAAGTTTGTATTACAAAGTTCTTTTCCTCTTTTTTTTTTTTTTTTTTGTTTTACTTTAATGTCTCTAATGGAACCTTTATGCTTATGGTCGTCGGTAGTTTTAGTGTCAAAAGACGACGATACAATTTATTCCATTTATCACCCTTCCAAGTTGCGAGCTAAAAAGGTGACACTGGTGACGAGGGTAGCACTAGTGAGGCAAGACTATGGACCAATACCTGAGGTATTCATAAAATTTAATCGTCAATAATTCTAGCGTTAAAGTTCCGGACTCTTTCGCCGGAAACCCGGACACTTTTAACCATTACACTTTTATGCTTTAAATTTTAGAATCTCAACATTGCACGTCAGCATGAATGTGTGATGTGATGGCGTGATTCGAACTGCACTGATTGTGAATACGCGTCTAGACTGTTTCCAACGGTCCATTTATACTATCGAAGTAAGCAGAAACGAAAACACGTTTTATTGTTGTTTTGTTCGCTAGTACGTGTAATTCTAGTATATGTAGTGTGAAAAATTATATAAAATGTTTAAAGTACGACAAAATATATAAAACGTATATTAAAGTATAATTTAAGGTATGACAAAATATATAGAATATTCAAAGTACAATATTTGGTAGGTAAAACAAAATTTTCTACCCGGGGAATTCAATTCTTTTCATTCTCGAAATTGTGATTTTGCACAAAATCTCCGTGAGATTTAATTTCAATGAAAGAAATCGAACGACAATTGTTGAGCAACAACGCGTCGAGGTATTTTTTATTTTTCATTCTTTTTAGAATAATGCCGAATAAAAAAGCCGATTTTATCTAATAACGACGAAATGATTAATCATTTTCACGACACGGTGTCCAAGAATTGCACAGTCTGTAAAGCTAGTTGAATTAAATCAATATAATAATGGGTTATGGGACGAGAATTACAATAATAAAGAAATCAATATAATAATGGGTTATGGGACGAGAATTACAAAAATTAGCAAACGATGTGTGAAATCTATACATATATTTATCACTCTTTTTCCCAGTAAGAAGACTAATTATTTGACAGGAGAACGAAATGATTAATGATTTTCACGGCACGTTGAAACAATTTTCCAAGAATTCTACAATCTATAAAACCAGCTGAATTAATAATAGGTTATGGATAATATATACAAGAATATAAAACTACAAAAATTAACAAATGACGTATGATTTGTCTTGCAGGAAAAAAAAGATCTAATTATTTAATAGCACAGGACGAAATGATTATTGATTTTCACGATATATAAAAATAATTTCCAATTAAAGATTTTACAATCTATAAAGCTAATTGAATTAATAACGAATTACGATGCACATAACACGAATCACATAAAAATTAATGATACGTGAAATTTTTCTTCCTTTCCTTTCTCACTGATAAAAATATAATTACTCAATGAGAGAACGAAATGATTCATGAATTTCACGATACGTCGGGATAATTACCAATGAAACGATTTTACAATCTGTAAAAGCTGGCCGCTGAATTAATAAAGAAAATATCAATTAACATGTTGGCGGTATCATCGTTAACGATGATAAATGAAAAATTATTGCCTGTATAATTAAGAATTACGATTATAAGAAACGAGATAAAAGTCACAAATGACAATAGATATTATATCGTGTCTCCTGAATTTTATCTTTCTTTCGCAATCAATCGTTGCTGATATCATCATGTCAGCGTCCCAATAGCACGTCGCAAAATTTCACGGGGAAATTTATAATGTAAATATACAATCAAAATCTGCAGCGACTTCGTTTCGTCCCCTCGCCTCTCGCCGCACACATTCGCGCGTGCACGTATATATCGCAAATAAATTACAAATTATCGCGATTACACGATACACCTTCTATTCTCGAAAATAAATCAAGAATCGAGCGGCTGTTGGCTCGTCAGATCGAGCAAAACTGCATGCCCATGCATTACACACCTCCGCCGATTTATCAACGTCGGGTTGTTCCTCGCCAATAATATTTCTTTAAAAATGTCCTTATCGCGTCGCATCAATATTCATTAGTCACAGATAACTGGGGGCTGGCGACGATAAAGAGAGAGAAAAAAAAAAAAAAAGAAACACTGTCTCACTGCCGGGGAACCGATACGACTCGTAATCGAGCCAACACCGGGAACAACAGAATCGTTACACACACTTTTGACGAACTATGTAACCGTTCGCTGCACTTCATAAATCACCGGACGTTTGCTCGTTTTCAACTAAATGATTCTTACAATGTTAATTATCACTTTGCGTGATTCTGCTGTTGAATTTTATTTACAGTTGTATGTGTACAGACTCTCGGGTCTATGTATCTCTGGTCTGGTTCTGACATCATCTTGATTTACATCGGTGTTATCACCTGTATATCGAGCAAAACTGTCTCGAACGAAGTCGCATGAATGTCCCTCGTGGGGGGGGGGGGGGGGGGGTATTATGATTGACTTATTAGTTCAGTTCGCGAGTGACGGCGTAAATGTCGTATGAAGATAAACTTTGTTTCTTTAAGTGTATACAATTTTTTGACACATCAATCGACGCAACTCGACATTTTCTATAAAATTCTATAAAAAGAATTAACCCATGTCAGTTGGAGATATTTTTATAAAGTATGAAAGACAAAGAAAAAGTATATATGTGTTATATAATGTAATAAATATATACTGTATAACATTAAATAAAAATACAATATTGAATATTAAACACAAAATATCGCAAAAAAAAAA